AAGAAGAGAAAAATAATGTTCAATCACACTTGGAAATTTCCTTATATTTCTCAAAGTGCTTCACATTTATTTTATCATTTGCTCAAGTATAAGATAAAGAGAATTTTAGAAGTGGAAGTAAGCACATCTTTAGCTAAATTACTCATTTTACAAATGAAAAAAATGAAGTTGAGCAAAGGCAAATGAACAGTCCAAGGTCATAAAGCAAGTAAGGAGCAGAGTTAAGAGTAGCATCCAATAAAGGTCCAAAGATCTAAATGTAAGAACTAAAAATATAAAACTCTTAGAAGAATGAGGGGGAAATAGATATAAGGCTTCACAACCTTGGATTTGGCAATGATTTCTTACATAAAATACCAATAGTAGAAAGGACCAAAGGAAAGATAGATAAATTGTATTCATCTAAACAAAACTTTTCTGCTTTAAAAGGTACTATCAAGAAAGTGAAAATACAACCCACAGGATGAAAGCAAATATATTCAGGTCACACATTTGGTAGGGTATTTGTATTTAGAACATATAAAAAACCTTTATAGCTCAATAATAAAAAGACAAGCCAATTAAAAATGAATAAAAGATTTGAACAGACAGTTCTCCTAAGAACATATACAAATGGAAAATAAACACATGAAAAGATGTAAATCAGAACAACATCAAGCATTTGCCTGTGTTCGATTTGGCAAATGCAAAGTGCAAGGTCCTGAGTTTGATTTTGTAAAAACCAAAAAACAAAAAACACTCATTTGTGATTAAAAAAAAACCCTACTGAAAACTGGAATGGATGATCTTTATCTCAATCTGACAGAAGTCATCTACGACAAACCAATAGCCAACATCATACTAAGTGGTCAATTAGACAAGAGGAAGAAATAAAAGGAATAAAGATCAGGAAGGAAGAAGTTAAATTATCATTATTCGCAGATAACATGATACTCTACACAGAAGACCCAAAAACTCCACAAAAGACTTCTAGATTTATTTATTTATTGTCTTTTTTTTGAGAAAGGGTCTCACTATGCAGTTCAGGCTGACCTTGAGCTCACTTTGTAGCCCAGGCTTGTCTCAAACTCACAACGATTCTCCTGCCTCAGCCTCCCAAGTGCTAGGATTACAGGCATGCGCCACCATGCCCAGCTAGGACTTCTAGATTTAATAACCAAATTCATTCAAGTAACGGGGTCAATAGCTTTCCTGTACACAAATAACAAATGCACTAGGAGAGAAATTAGGGAAACCATACCTTTTACAATAGCATCAAAAAAATGAAGTACTTAGGAATCAATCTAACAAAGAAAGTAAAAGACCTTTACATTGAAAACTACAGTATTCTGAAAAAGGAAATCCAAGAAGAAAACAGAAAATGGAGATATCCCTTGCTTTTGGGTAGGAAGAATCAAAACAGTGAAAATGGCCATACTCCCAAAATTGTTATACAGATTTAATGCAAACCCAATCAAAATACCAA